TAGGGAAATTGTTCAGAAATCAGGTAAAACAGATTCTAAATATATTTGTTTAAATGTTTCGATTAATAAATTTCTCCGAAATAGATATATTGGATGATGGCACACGGCAAACACTGATGTTTTCGGCCACATTTCCCAAGTCCATTCGAAATCTTGCTCGAGATTTTCTAGCGAATCAATATGTATTTCTTACCGTCGGCCGTGTTGGTGGAACCACGAGTGACATAACTCAAAAGGTATATGAGAAAAATTATGATTAATATTCATAGCCTTATGTTTGCAGTCTGGTATTAACGAATTGCAAAAAAGATTATGTATGTAGAAGATCATAAAAAACGGGATTCACTTGTCGCTCTTTTGTTGAAACAACCTCCTTCACGCACCTTGGTTTTCGTAAAATCTAAACGTGGCGCAGATTCGCTTGATGATTTCTTGTATTCACAGAATTTTCCAACCACAAGTATTCATGGCGATCGTACACAACATGAACGTGAAGATGCGTTAATATCTTTCAAGTAAGTACATTTCAATCGTTTTAGAGTATGCTACACACCAGTTTATAATGAAACTATACATATAGGAACGGCCGATGTCCTATTTTAATTGCTACAGCTGTTGCTGCTCGTGGGCTTGATATTAAAAATGTAATGCATGTTATTAATTATGATCTTTGCGATGATATCGACGAATATGTTCATCGTATTGGAAGGTAAATGGTATTCTTAATCTTTTTATTCTGTTCTTTTAACTGTGCAAAAGCTTAAACGTTATTATTATTTAACAGAACTGCACGTGTTGGAAATCAAGGGTTGGCTACTACTTTTTACAATGATGGAGACTCAGCTATTGCTGGAGAATTAGTAAGAATTTTGGTGGAATGTAAGCAAGAAGTTCCCGATTTCTTAAAAGAACATGCAGGCAATGTGGAACTGTAAGCAATTAATATTTATTTATTTATTTGTATGTCTATTTTATAAGTTATAATTGTTAAATCCTAACTTAATTTATGTGAAGTCGATTTGATGATGATGACGACGATGACGAACCAGGCAATAATCAGGGTCCGAAACAATGGGATAATAACGACCAAGGGCAGTGGAATAACAATAATCAGAGGCCTTGGGACAATAGTAACCAACAATCTTGGGGAAACCAACAGCAAGATTCGACATGGGGAGATAATCAAAACCAGCTTTTAAAACCGCAGTCTCAAACTACCTCATCAACGGTATTTTATGTTAACGTCAATCTATATCATTGCCTGCTTTAAGAAATATCAACCCACCACTTAATATGCTATCGTTCTAATTGTGCAGGTTGCTAGTAACGATAACTGGTCGAATCCGCCCACCGCTCAGCCTACATATCAGTATCCATCTATGCCTCATACACAATCTAATCAATGTCAATATGCAACGCCTACATATAATCAGCCAATTCCTTCACAACCTCCGAATGTCGGACCACCTGTTGTTAATCTTCCAAAGAATAATCAATTCAATCAACCCACACAACCATCATTTGCACCACCCTCACAGCAGCAAAACTTTGGCGCTAGCTATAATAATCCTGCGTCTAACGGACCTGAACAAAATGATTACTATAATAATAATAATACTTCATTCGGTAACGATACAAATAGATTTGGTGATCCTAACAACAATAATGATGATGGTTCACCATCTCGTCCTCGTTCAAAATCTCCAAAACAGCAAAGAAATCAACGACGGACCCGCAATAATGGTAATTGGCAACAGGATGATAACATTGGAAATCGTAATGCAAATCAAACTAGTTCAGATGGTTGGGGAAATACTGATACTCGGGATGCACCAAAAAAAGAATGGGATCCAAATAATCCTCCTTGGGGCAAATAAGGTTGCTATTTTTGAATTATGATATTACCACATGGTTTGGGTTTGGAAATCGGGATTTCTACTTGATAATAATCAAAATAAATATGTTCATTCTCAGTCAATAGTGTAAAATTCAAAAACCAATAAAATTTGTTAAATCAATGCTATAAATTATTAAAACTGTGATTTTTATTTTCAAGTTAAGAATTGTAGCGACTAAGCAGGATATATTAAATAAAGTGATATGTTGCAAGTGGTCTAATAGTTATGTCGAATATGTGCTGCTAAGTGAAAAACATTTTTAAGGATCTTGTAATTTATCTCCCTAATCAATTACATTACGTGAATTACTTTTATTTCGTAAATAATTTTTTTTTTAAAGATGTTATCTACAATAATAAAACATAGCTAAAATATAAATGCAAACCTTATTCTAACTTCTAAAGTTTGTAATTTTAATTTATTAAAGTTTAACAATTTTAATTTCATCAGTATATAGTAAATTAATTTTACCAAATTTTAAATTTAATATATATTTTTTTTTAAACATATATAAGAAATTAATAT